ATCAATATTAAATGAAATTGTTAAATAAACTTAAACTGAATTAGTCTATGTATAGTCTGTAAGAAAATGTACATTTTCTAGATTATTCTTAAATAAATAAATAAATAAATAAATAAATCGTGGACATTCTTAATCGAATATACTCTATCTATTTAGCAGAAAAAAGCCAATTTTCATAAAATCCGTTACTTGATTATTAGAAACATATGGGCAAAATTTCGGAGTTATATATGCATCGGTGCACTTTTTATTGCATTTTAAAGACGCTTTTGAGGTAAGGTTCAAATGGGAGGTATGCTTTAAAATAAATCGATATCGCCCATTTTTCGTTGTTTTCTTGATTTATCTCCGTAAATGTTGCACACGGAAAATTGAGGTTATACGCCGACTCCTTCTATTTTTCCAAAAAATGTATGGGGCTGTATCACTGTGCGACGTTGAACAATCCAAAAACAAACAAGTACCCGGCGCACGTATTAAATATATGTTTTTCACCTTTCCGAAAGCTAACGCCACATGGTAAGCCGGGGTGTATCAATTTTGAGTAAATTAGCGTCCTTAAATTTCGAATTATTGAAGTTTCAAGCATTTCTGAAATTTACCGTTATATACGTTATTTTAGTCCCATTCCAATAATTTTCAACGTTTTTCTTTTATGTGGCAAGGACAATAAAAAATACCGAGTTTGGTACAAATTGGTAGAACGGTTACCGATATACATATATGTGATCATAAGTGGGCGGTACCACGCCCATTTTCCAAAATTTTACCATAAACGTATTTCATGGTAAAGAATTGTTGCAAGCATCGATTTTGAATAAATTAGCTTCAATATTTACTGATTTATCGAAGATTTTGTATTTCTCTAAATTACCGTTATATGGGATGTGGGCGTGGTTATCGTCCGATTTTAAAAATTTTCGGCGATTTTGTATGCTGTACCAAGGCCAACAACTGTGCCAAGTTTGGAAGAAATTGGTGTAGCGGTTACCAAGATATTCACATGTAACCATAAGTGGGCGTGGCTACGCCCATTTTCCAAAAATTTATAATATTCTTATTTTTCGTCTAAAAGTTGTTGCAAATATCAATTTTGAGTGAATAATCTTCAGTAGTTACTAAAATATCGCAGTTTTCGTATTTCTGGAAATTACCGTTATATAGGAAGTGGGCGTGGTTACAGTCCGATTTCGCCCATTTTCAATACCAACCTACCTTGGATTAAGGGAAACCTACATACCAAATTTCGTTGAGATATCTCAATTTTTGCTCGAGTTATCGTGTACACGGACAGACGGACGTACAGACAGACATGGCTTAATCGATTTCTTTTTTCATCCTGATCATTTATGTATACATTTGTCTATATCTATCTCGATTCGTTTTGGCTGTTACAAACAACCGTTATGTGAACAAAATTAATATACCCTTGTGCACAAGTGCGCTCGGGTATAAAAAAAAATTAGAATTAAAATTTACATACTTATGGTTGACTGATGCATCATGCCATGGCTAGGGACACGAATTTCGATACGATACGATACCATATCGATACTTTTGGCATTCGATACCGATATTTTCTACTCGATAGTTTTAAAACAATATTTTTTGGAATCGAGTACCAGAACCCTAGTATCGTATCGAATGTCATAAACTCACATTCCAACACTGAGGGAAAAAAATTTTAGAATTAAAAAACAAAACGTGCTAAATTGAAAAAAATACGCATATGAAAGAGCACCAACCCAACTCATTTTAAATTTGAGTATATACGTTATAAAATATGTGGTTGTGAAGTGCACAGATGCTTTTTCGTAATTAAGAAGAAAAAAAATTAATTTTATGCTCCGTCTGATGGGAATTGAACCCGGACCCTCTTGGCCGCAACTAATTGTAGCAAATCGTTAATCATACCCATTGTCCGCTACTGCATGACATTGTAACCAATTTTAGAACAAAACTCGTACCTTATGCATTACATTCGGACCACTTTTAGTACAATTCACCTGTTTTACATTACATTGCTTTAAATTTTTGGACTATCTTTGGTCTAGTTACAAAACTACTATACCTACGACTATATATTTCGAGCAATTGGACCAATCTTTCCTTCAGCGCGCTGTGCATGCTTTGTATACATATACCTTCTTAACTACATATCGAAAGACGATACGTGCAAAACGCCATCCGTTTAATGAAAAATGCTTCATTTTAGTACGGGAGTATTTGAATTGAATATTTCGATTATATGTACGTAGTGTATGTATAATGGAAAAATCCATTTGGTTAAGACTTTTTACTTGATTTAAATATGAACATTTTTAAACTGTAATTAATGTTTAAGTCAACACCTCAATCTTTACGTGTTGTAATAATAATAAAGTCCGGCGCTTACACAATATGTTAGTGTTTGGCCGAACTTCCCCTCCGATTTGTCGCGTGGGCCTTAATGTTGTGGCACAAAGGGGGTGCCTACAGTTTTATGTCGACTTTGAACGGCGATTGTATTTTATGGGAACAGGGGCGCACCCAGGAATATATTTTGGGAGGGGTTTATACTTCTGAAAATTCGCTTCAGATAAAATGATCATTAAAGTACATTTATGCAAGTTTTATGTACAGTATGTAATAAATAAATAAACTTTTTGAAGTTTCATAAATTGCATTTATTTACATAAAATTAGCAAAAAACTCAAACATTTGTAACCGACTTCAAAAAAGGGGTAGGTTATCAATTCGCCGGAATAGTATGCTAACGCATAACTTTGGACCACGTGAACCGATTTCAATAATTCTTTTTTTTTATCGGAAAGATGGTACCTCAAGGGTCTTCCCGTAATTTGAAATTACTTGTTTAATATAAAGTTCTATAAACACAAGATGCGCTCAACTTGCAAAAGTAATAAAAAAATTTAAAAAAAGAGTTTTAATGTTCATTTTCCTCGATATCTGGTTTCTGGTTTTCGAATGAGATGGTGATTTTTTACGATTGCTTAATTTTTTTAATATTCCGAATACCGAGAAAATTAAATGAACTTGAATTTTTGTTATGTAGGCAATTTTTGGTGGAACGGATTCGAAGTGGGCAAATTAAATCTTCGAATCCTTGTTAAGGACATATCAGTTGTAAACTCTTTTAGGCTCAGTAAGTGAGTATGCATTGCATATTTTTAGGTTTCATTCGCAGTTAAACTTTTAAGAGCTCTCAAAAAAAAACGAAAAATTCATATAAAATGGCGCACAAGAAATGGAATAGGAATTTTCTTCTATCAAAATTTCTTAAATCAATTTGCATCTCTCAAGAAAAAAATGCTCGTATATTTATTTCTTCAAGAAAATTTACAGCAAAAGCAAAGTGCTTTATAATAAAAAATATTTCTTGTGATTTTTCTTGAGAGCTGGCTTTAGGATACAGTTTGTATTTCAGGTTATTAGCTTTAGGGGGGGTTTGAACCCTTGTGTGCGCTAATGTATGGGAAGCTATTTTTCATTTTCAAGGGTTGCGCACTTCTAACCACCACACCCAAGTGGTCTATATGCGAAACCTATATTCAGATAAATTTTTTGGATTTTAGTATCGATATTTGGAATATCGAGTCTTTTTATTCCGATATTAATGGGTACCCGATATTTTTAAAGCGATACTTTAAATGAGTACCATATCGATACTTTCGGTTCGATATCGTGTCCCTAAGGTTGGCGCTAGAACCATACAGTTGCGTGTGAACTCCAAAAAAAATCTACTTGATCAGATTATTTTAACACATACCTCCATGTAAACTTAACCTAAAACCCCCTTTCAAAATGCTATAAATGCAATTATTATTATATGAGGTTACCTTAAAAGTCGCAAATATGAGCCTATTATTAGTTGCTCCTGTACGCGTTTTCTAGTGAACACGTTGAGCGCATAGGCGGTGAGTGTGCATGGCTCATGATGCGTGCGCGCTGTGATAAATGTGGCTGTAAGTAATAAACAGAAAAGATCTAACGAGTTTTTTTTAGAAATATTTTCTTCAATAAATACGGTTTTCGAAAATATAAACGAAATGGAAAACACTCATTGAAAACATATTTTTAATGCAACATGAATATTTATAATGCTTTTATTGAAAAAAATTTTTTCTAAATGATAAAATTTTTTTTTTTTAAACTCCATTGTCACTACACTTACAAAAAAAAATCATAAACTTTCGTCAAATTCTTTAAGAGAAAATGAGTTTAAAAAAAAGATTGCTTAGAAATGTAATTGCTTATAAAACCCAAAGCGAATTTATGTAAGGTGGTGTTGTTTCATCAGCTGTGAGTAGCGGTTGATTGTCAGAATTTTGTATATATCCTGCAGCGGAAATACTAGTACAGAACTAGTGAGTTCACTAGTTTTCGGGAGTCGAATACCGGTACCTTGCAAATCTACCAGCCATGCTTTCTACTGTCGCATTTAACATGGAGTTGTCCTAGGAGGTGACAATTGACTCCCGCTGCGTAACTTTTCACTAGTACTTGTAGTAGTAACATGTAACCTGTAACCGAACCACTTTTTTTTCGTTGTGCACTTCACAGATACTTTTTCATAATTAAAAAAAAAAAAAAAACGAAAATAAAGATTCTAAATTTGTTCTGCATAGCGAGATTTGAACTCGAACACTTTCGGTCGCAATTAATTGCAGCCAGCATCTTTGCGCACCCAGCTACAGGCACAACATAAAAATGTGCTTTCAAATGTTCGCTTTGAATCAAGCCAGGCGACGATTTGTTCAAATTTAAATTTGTCTTTGCTATTGTCTTTGCTATTTATTTTCCTGTGATCGAACGTACAAAAGCTGCAGCGTGGCGTTGTTTGAAATTTTATTATTGGGCTGAACTGATTCTTGATAATTTTAACAAAATTGTCACTTTAACGCGCTATATCTCAGTCGTTTGTGTATCGATGGATTTGAAATTTTCACACAATAAACTACAAACTATTGCAAAGAGTTTAAGTTTAACACCACTTCTTAATACTCACTACAAATAAAACTACAGGTTCATAACTTTTTTATGAGAATTAAGAGGGTGTTTGTTTTCAAATGCAAAAGATGTGTTATAAAGTTTGAAATAAATTTTTTGTTTTAAAACAGTAGGGAAGTTTTTGCGAAAGTTTCAGAATTAAACATCAAGTAGTTGCAAAGTTATAACAATATTATTATGACTCACACGGTTAGCAGATTAGGGCGCTGCGCTCTAAAAAGCTTTATAACTCGGAAAAGTAAAAAAAAGTCTTTTTTTATTAGTGATTTATATGTAAAAAGACTTGATCGTTCGATTGAGATAACTAAAAGCAATATTAAAAATGACCATAATTCAGAAAAATTACAAATAAATTTTCGTTCAGAATTTTCACCATGAAAATGGGAAAATTTTGGAAAACGCTCAGTGCCATCGCATAGCCCGTACAAAAATCTATAGAAATCATAGTTTTCGAATCATTTTTCCTATTTTCTGTCTGCTTCGCAGCTAGTCGAACAGCTTGTTTTGCACCGCTCAGGGCGCAGGGACATTTGACATGAATTGCCCCCAAAATAATTTAAGAAATAGAAATGTTATGCAAAAAGGGGTATCTACATATGTATTGCTTTATTTTGGTACTTTTAAGTCCGATATTTGCGTGGTGGTCACACGAGGGAAACATAACATGGATAAGTATTCAAAATGTATTATTTGTATTTAGATGATAAATAACAAATTCCTTTATGTAATAAGGGAGCACTATTATATTAAAACGGCCAATAACCTTTAGAAAGTGCAATATGTAACCAATATCTCGATTTATTACTACCTGGATCATAATATGCTATTGGAACTAGTAATGTAACTAGTACGAAAGCGACAATTGTCTCCGAACCCGCTGCAGGGTAGCTACCCTGCAGGGAGTGACGTTAGCTTATACCTAACTTTAGTCTGTTTACGCGAACACTAGTGCTAACTATTAACTGTGTATTTTGTTCGAAAAAAGCTAACTACTTTTGTGGGGCGATGGCCGCAAAAAAGTCAGACCTGGATACCTCTGCATTACATGTCAACTAACTTGTAACTAACTACTTTTGGACATAAAATATCAATAAGAAAAAAAAATATTTTTTTGTTTTTTTACTTTTTTATTTACTTATTTATTTACTTTATTTTATTACATTTCACATTTGTTTACATATTCTGCTCTGGGTGGTCCCATATTCGAACACCGTCAGACATAACTTCAAAATGATAGTATAAAATTTAGATCTTCCTTTTATTTGTCCTGAATATGAAAAAGAATCTGCGAAGTTCAGAAAAAAAGTGTATTGAAAGTAATTTTTGTATGAGGATATTTAATAGAAACTTGTAAAGAAAACCAACTCCCGATTGCGTCTGCATGACTCCTGCACGACTTTACAATTCACTTTAAGTTGGTTTTGTCATAGCTAATTAAAAGTGAGGTATTAATCGAAATCTCGCCAAAAAGCTAACTATAAGTTGGTTAGTTTTAACAATTGATAATTTTTCACTGCAGGGTAGTGAGTGAGTGAAAACGTGAGTGTGTTTGTATTTTCTGTCGGACTTTTTCATTCGGGGATGAATAGCTAAAATTTGACAATGGTCCGCTAAAAGCAAAAACAAAGTTCAAGTAATTGTTGTATTTGTTGAATCGATGCCACCTTATATTTATTCGCCTTGATAAAAACTTTAAAAATTAAACTTTTTCAAAAAAATTCTCACAATCTCTTTCACATCTATAAGCCTCTCTACCCACAAATTTTCACGCGAAAATTCCAACTTGCCTGAAATCCGAGGTGCAGTTGTGAAATTTCCACCCAAGTGCAAGTTTCAAGCTGCTATAAAATCCCGTTAATTTTTGGCAATTTTTTTTGCTGGCAGTGTTCTCCATATAAAAGATAATTGTCGAAAATACTTTTGTATGGAAAAAACGTGAAACACCTTCAACCAAAAAAAATCGTTTTTGTGAGCTGTCTGCAAATGTTTTTTGATGTTGGCTGTCGTCTGTCCCTTCATCTGAACATATGAAAAGAAATTCCAAATAATCGGCAAAAAAAGGCCGATGCCGATGCTTAATTTTGTGGCGATACTAGCCGATGCCGATGCCGATTAATCGGTCGGACTCTAGTTATTTTATTTCAGATGGTTCAAAGGCGTGCTTAGAAGAGTTTTGAAAGCGTACCCTATGTTTATTTTAAAAGTTTTTCTATTGTTAATTAAGGGCTTTTTAAAGATTCGTTTACTAACGGCTCTGATCAAACCAAATTCATGAAGCATTTTTCGGCTAAGACACTCGGGAAAGGCAGTTGAGAACATAATTAATTGATTTAATGTTAAAAGGTTATTTCACCATTGCCTTACGATGGATAACCTGTTTTCATTTCATTTCATTTCATTTCATTTATTATTATAAAGAAAATTAATACAATAAGATCCCAAAGATCTTTTTTAGTACAACGGTAACTTAAAATTAAGACAAGAATAAGAGTTGAGAATAAAAAGTGCATAGTACATCATGTCAAACAAAGCCTGACAAATAGCATTAGGCAAAACTTACAAATCTATATAAAACCAAGAGAGGAAGAAAAAAAAAAATAAAAAAATAAAAATAAAAATAAAAATAAAATAAATAAATATAAAAAAAAGTCAATAAATAAAAAAAAATTAAAAAGAAAAAGAACGACATATAATTTTCAATTAGCCTATATCTAAAAACATACACATTTACAATTTATATAGATAGCGAACCTCAGCTGATAATGAGTTAATAAGTTAACGAAAATACGAGTACAAAACACTCCTAAAGTTGCTTTTATTTAGACTGTTGCGAATATGTCCTGGAACCGAGTTCCAGGTGCGAATAGCATTGACGAAAAATAGTCTTGCAGATGCTAGATAATTGTACCTAGGTATAATCAGGTCAGTAAGGCGTGAAGACTTTGAGAAGGATAATTTTTCGTATAGATATCTAGGATCTTTATCCATCATTAGGCGAAATAAAAAAATACAATTTCTTGCTTCTAGGTATTCAGAGATACTGCAGCCCAACAGTCGTGATTTCCAATCGGATATTCGCTCAAATTTCGATAGCCCAAAAACATATCGAGTAACATGATTGAATACTACATAAATTTTATGGGAAGATTGAGAATCTAGGCTGCTGTAGACTAGCTCAG